TTATGGAATTGTGTGTGGGGGCAGGCATGTTGTTTTAAATGTTTTAAATATAGACAACACTTGTCTATATTATTTAATGAAATGTGTATGAATGAAAAGATGCTGCCTAAATACACACAATATATATATATATATATATATATATATATATATATGATTAATAATATAATAGTCATAGGTAATCTGTAAATGTGTATGTAATATTAGCAGTAGAATAAATGTCTATAAAAAATATATATATTTTTACCACATCTTAATAATTCAAAGCTTCTCCATGAATTCAGATTTAATATCTAGAAAATTCGTAATGGTGTCATGGTACAAATCAATATATTAAGAAACATTTCTATGTTTGCATAATGTCAACCATAGACATCCATTTGTCCATATAAACATATTGATTTTATAAAAAGAAAAGAATTCATACATGATTTCATAGGCATGTGTGTCCTAGACTTCAAACCAGCTGTGTTTTGCCTTGGGCAATGAAGTTCTTTATATATTATAAAATTTATATCATCTATGAAGTTCCAAGATTGTATAATTGCTGGGATTTTTCTACTTAGAGAAATTTTATTCATATAATACAGTGAAATTTAGATTTGATAATATTGAAAGACTAGCATAATAATTAAGACCTGCTTTCTAAAATGCCATAAAACTACTATATTTGATGACATATAAGACTCTTCTTGCATTCATATTTAACATTGCCACATGGAGAAGCCTAGTTATAAATACTGATAATCTATAGCATATGGGTAAATGGTTGAGTTTGCCATATTAGAAATGGAATAAGGGTAAAAAATAGTGGAAATAAGTAAAATGGACAAAAAAAGGTAACACATGTGTTTATAGAGATAGAGTAATCTTTGTTATAACTTATACTACAGAAGAATAAAATGAAGTGGAGATAATTGTCTGAGTTATCGAACTTAGTTGCATTTTTTTCTCAATATAAACATTACCCAACCAGATACCTCAACTTTGATTATAAGAGATAGGAGATATTTATTAGCTATTTTTGAGTCAAATAAAGCTGGGGGATCTTATATGCTATTTAATATGGCATAGTTTCATGTTCCTGGCATATTTTAATAGTAAAAATTGAAATATCAAATACATATGAGTCTTAGAAGCATAAAATGCCAATTTGCAGAATTGTTATGATGTTCTGAGAAGTCACTCTGCATATTTAGCTTAACTAATTTGCAATAAACATGATAATTAACTTCAGCTTTTTTTTTAATTGAACTCACGAAATGCAAGGCAATAAAGCCACTAAGACACGAGTGGTCACTGGGTGTGGAAGAATTAGAAAACAAACGTTATTAAGAAGTAAGAGCAAATAGAAAAGTAATCAGGAAGACAGTAGATAATGGGTGACATTGCATTTAAAGTTTTTGTAGATCAATGTTGGCTGGAAAGCATGGAGCCAGAAGAGTGTTCCACAAGTGAGAAGTGTGAGAAAAGAAGCTTGTTTGCATAGATCATACAGTTACATCTAGCCAATAATACTGTGCTTAAATTCATAAAGTCTAGGTACCATAGCAAAGAGCTCATCTGAAAAATACCATGAAAGTATTTATAGAAAAGGCACAGGGAAGCAACTTTACGGTGGTGGGAAAGTGACTGAAGCTGAGATGCCAGGTCAAGACCAATAATATTGCTGATTCTTCTTTGGGTTTTATCAAGAATCTCTAAATGTATAGCAGGAGCACCTGACCATATGCGGCAGCAACATTCAAAGCATGAACAAATGGTAGAATTATAGATATGTAAGATAGATTCTGGAGTAAAAGATTGTCTAGCATGACACAGTGAACAATCTTTTTTAGCAATGGATTCACTTTATTTTTTCCACTTCATGTCAGCTGAGAAGGCATAATGAGTCACTCTCCTGGTGGTTAGCATCAGCCATGCTTATGGAAGGCAGAGAGGGGTCTCTTAAATGATTAATAGAAAGCAGTTTTTGACTTGAAACCAGATAAACCACCACTGATTTTACTACTTTCAAGATGTACAAATTTCTTACATGTAGCATTTTTTATTAATATTAATTCCTGACTAGTTTATCTTTCATATTATTTTTGTTGCCATTTACATCCTACAACACTTACTTTTGCTTTTTGAATAAACAGAGGTTGTTTAAATGAAGTGTAGGTAGTAATCTCTTAATTTTCATAATTTTAATAAGTGCCACTCTACATTTATCCAAGAGGCAAGAGTAATCTTCCTTTTTCCATACTCTTACTTCTGGAATAAAGTTGGAGGTATGCTTATTAAAATTTTGAAAATGAAAACCTTGCCCCTATACTTTATTTGAACCTACTCCCATTTATTTTGGAGGAAAGACTAAGTAAGCAGTTGGGATGAGATAAATTTGTCTGAAATTATTATTTTTTTTTATTTCTTTTTTACAATGATGTACACTCTGTGCAAGGCTCAAAATCCACTTGAGGTCGAGGGTTACAGAGAAACAGTCACCTCACTAAGTAAGGTGATAATGCCACCAAAACGCAAGAGGCTATTGGTAGTGAAAGACATGGAAAATACTTTAGAAGGGACCAGAAACCCAATCCTAAACAGGAAATAAGTGATAAGCCTCTACTCCTGTTCAAAAGACCAGGGAGGAGTGTGAAGCAGACTATATGCAAACCTATCTACTCCTATTGAGGAAATTAATAATAATAAAAATACTTCAGCTGAATAGTTCAGAAAGGCTGTTATGTCTGTCACTATTACTATTAGGTCTAAACAAACAATATGGCATGTTAAGAAAGAATATATCTATAGCAAGTTAAGAAAGAATATATCTATATGACTAAATATGAACTTCATCTGATGATGGGTTTCTGTAGAAAAATAGTCCTGGGTATTACAATAAACTATATCCAACAGTAAGGCCTCTGATTGGGAGATTGAAGATTTTGAGGATCATGGAACCACCTCTTAATTGCTGTTGTTCTCAGGTCTACCCTGACCTGGGATAGTAGCACCTGTTAGGGTCCTAGCTATGGGCAAATAATGAACCTCCAAACAAAAAGAAAACACTATGAAAGTATAAAAACATTTTTATATTAAAAATACCAGCAATACATTTTTATATAAAAAATTTGCCAACAGTTCATATTTATAGTAAAATTACCAACAATACATTTTTAAAGCAAAATGACCAGTAATACATTTTACCTGAAGTTGAAGTCAAATGCATTCAAAATATATTTAGCTGAAAGCATAAAATTGTTCAAAATATTTAGATTTTGGCATTAAATAACCCATAGCAATTGATATGCCACTAAACAAAATCAAACAATGAATATGAAAGAACTCTTTCATGACATTAATCCATATAATATTCTATAATTTCTTAAAGAAATCAAACTGTATTCCAAAATATAACTTTAAAAAAATTATAACATAAAACACACATGTTACTGCATGTAGTAGTTGTGTCCACACAAACAGGTATATGCACAAAAGCTAAGTATCATCTACCATGTATTCACTTGTGAAAACAGAATAACTTCATATTTGTATTACTTCAAAGTTCTCAAGAAAATTAAATTTCAGCATTAAATGACTCATAAGATGTTGATATGCCATTAAACAAACAAATTAATCAATATGTAGAAAAATCAATGTCCTCCTCTATATTATATTGGCTGTCGAGGACATTAGAGACAAGTTCAGATCTTATTGGGGTTACTTTTTTATTGTTTTAAATTGATGTTGTTTACTTAAGGGCATGAAAAAATAGGGGAAAAACTATTAATGTATATTTTTGTTGGTTCAGTTAAAAGAGACTGGCGAGAATGGAGATCCAATGACAATAAGGTGCACCATAAAAAATCGATGAGAGATACTCAGTGAAATATACAACCAAAACAATTCAGATTCTTCAATGTAGAGCATTGTTTTAAGAACAATATTTGTTCTCTATTATAGAAATAACTATTTTGTTACAATAGTCAGGTTGAAAATGAGACTTAATTCTGCCATGAAAATGACAATTTGGTTGCCAAGACTTTGTTGAAGAGAGATTTTGCGGGTGCTTCTTTGAGTCCATGCTTGGTCAGGTTTTCAGATGTTTTTAGAAGGTGTAGCATCACCACTGCCCAGCATTATGTCTCCTACTCCTCGGCATTACGCCTCCTATTTCTCAGCGTTCGTGTCTCCTACTCCTGTTGATGGTCATATTGCAGGGATTATTTTATAGCCAAAGGTTGGCTCCAATTTACCAGTAAAAGTTTGATGGTCGACACAAGCATTTCAGCTTATTGGTAAAAAAAATCACGTTTCTGAAAACAATTTATTGTAGTAGAAAAAACACTTCTGTTTTTTTTTTCTTGACCTTCAACTGACCCCGCCACTCCAATCTTTGGTCAAAGAGCTTTAGACACAGGATAGCAAGGTTCAGATTACAGTAATTATTTTATTACCATCATCCTTTCCCACCATAACTACCGAGAACTGACTTTTACTCAGAGAGAAAAAATAATTTTTGACAATAATATAAAATGATGTAAATTGTGATAAAATAATAAAATAAGACAATGATATTATGTATATATATGTTATTCATTTTTTAGTGGAACATTTTCACTAGTGTTGCCTTTTACATGAAACATTTTTTCTGTTATTATTTTATTACTAGATTTATTCTATCTTATTGTTACCTTTTACAGGAAGTATTTTCACTATTACAGTTTATTATTATTCTCATTATTATTATTATTACAATTTAACCCATTGTTATCACTAGCTTTACTTCAATTTATTATTGTTACATTTCAGATTAAGCACTTTTACTATTATTATTAGTAGTATTACTCCATCTTAATATTGTTTCTTTTTACATAAAGCATTTTTTTTACTTCTGAAATCAATAAATTTCATAACTCATTTAGAATTCTTCCTTGAAATTTAAACTAGAAAACCTTGACACTCAGATGATTAAAAATCCTTATAACAACTTACTAATTTTATTTCTTTTTCAGGATATTCTACAGCACGATGAAAAGCTAACATATATTTCTTTTCTTGGGTCTCCTTTGCTAACAGACTTAGCCTTCAAGAGATTTCCACAGTCCAAATATTTAAATACAGTCAAAATTGAAGGTACAACATTTTTATTTTTGTCCTCAAAATATGTAATCAATATTTTTCAGTATTTTTTTTCTGTAAGAAGTTTTGAAATTTTCAGTCTCCTGTTTTTCACCAAATTGCCCATCTCTCTGTAATGGACTCTTCTAACAGAAATATAATATTATATTCTGTTAAACCTGATATCTGAAGCTCCATAATTATTCAGTAGAATTTTATGTTATGTTAAACCTACCAATTCTGTAATTATTCAGTGGTGAATTTTTTAGCATAATATTCAGGAAGTATTGAAAATAAACAAAAGAATCCAGTTTTTGATATTTTAGAAATAATATACATATATATATATATATATATATATATATATATATATATATAAGTTTAGTTTTGGAGGCATTAAAATTAACAAGCCATCCTTTGCCCCAGTTAATAACAGACTGAAGGTCGTTTTGGACTACAGCTGCTAATTTGACCTTATCAAACTCATCAGACTTGTTATTGAGATTATATAACATTTGGTCTTGGTGTTTATTTTAGTTACTGTGCACATTTCTTGTCCTCAGTTGAACTCTGATGAGAGAGAAATGATAAAATGGTTAAGTTGCTTTTTTGTTAATTATGTTCGTATTTTGATTTTACCACTTTAAGGTAATGTAATTTTTTTTTGTTACCTCTCTTTTTTGTTTTCTTTTCTTTTCATGTTTTAACATGTCTGCTTTTATTGCTATTAATAATGATATTAATCATAAATCTACTTTTGTAGGTAATCAACGTATCTCGGATGCAACAATTAAGCAGTTATCACGGTTGTGTACCTCTTTGACTCACATCTACTTGGGAGATTGTCAGAGACTCACAGATAATTGCCTGAAATATCTGGCAACTTGTAAGCATCTGACCGTTCTTAATATGGCCGAATGTATACGGTAAGTTAAAAAAAAAAGAGTGAAATAAGTATTAGGTTGCTGAAAAAGTTCCCAGCAGTATCTGTGGGAAATCTGTCCCAGCTTTCCCACATGAAAGGGTTGAGGTTAAAAATGTGACAAAATTGAAAAAAGCAACAATGGCTTGAAAGATTAGAATGGACAATTCTCTATTTCTAGGCAGCTCTTTCAGGTGGAAGAATAAAGACTCAAACTCCTGCTTGGTGCATAACAATAAAAGAAGAAAATGTTTATTTACATGCACAAAAAAGGGGTAATAATAACAAGAGATAAGAAAATTCTTTTAACTTTAAAGGAAGAAAAAATGTTCCTAAAAAAAGAAAAGGCTTGCTCAAAATATTTCTCTGAGCACCTAAAAAGTTCTTTAAGTGAGTAGTAGATTGTTGTTAAAGGTTAAAACACTCACAGATTTGTTCAGAGTTCTTTATAGGAGGAAACTGTCGGATGATATGAATTTTGCCGTTGAGTGAGTTTCTAGGCTGGCAACAGATATCTTCTAGGTGCAAGGAAGCAGATCTCAATTGGTTTTTAGTAGTGGGATGACATTCTTTCTCGACAGCTCATAGTAGGTAGTTCTTTCTTGAAGATGTCTGCTTTTCTGTCGCTAACCTATCACAGACGGTTGTCAAATTCTCACTGCCAAATAAGTGAAGATTCTCTGTATATATATGGAGATCAAGAAATATTGGGGATTTTTCCCTCCAAAATTGCTATACAAATTTCCTAGCCCTTTCATTCATTAGAAAATATACTCTTATGTCTGATAAGAACAAGGCTTTGGGAGCTGTAAAGGGTCTGACAAACTGTGAGTGCCTCCACCAGACTTTATGGCATGAAGAACAGGATAATGATGTTCAAACTCCTTTTTATATTTTCCAGCTCTCTCATTCATCAGAAAATACATTCTTATCTCTGATAAAGAACAAGTCTTTGGGAGCTGGATTTGAAAGCAAGGGAAAAAAGTTGGGATGAGGCTAGAATGTGAACCTGTTATATATTGTAGTCTTGGTTCTCAAATTAAATTTTAATATATCTTTTGCATAAAAGAATCTTAGAAGTGTCCTTGAAATTTACTCAACTCTTTGTGCTACAATGCATTGTAGTACATTGGAATTACAAGGAAAATGTGTTCCATGTAAACCTATAGAAATGAACATTCTTAGTAGTGTCTTTAATGTATATACTCAGATCTTTATAGTTTGTGCAATTATTTAACTGCACTACACTTTTTTTATCAGTAACTTAGTATTTTGGTACAAGAATTAGTACTCAAATTACTTAAAAGGATGCTTAAAATTTTTATGAATTAAATAAATTGAGAATTGAACTTTAATGGGGTGTTTAATAAACTGAAAAGAATAACATTCAAATGTAATTAAGCTAGAAGAATTAGTAGAATAATATAACATATTTAGTAAGTATTTTTGTTTAATTTTAGGTTTTTCTTTCTTTTTTTTTAGTTATATACTGTTATCAGTTGTGAAGATGTATTCGAAGTACAGTTGCTTATAAACAAGTTACTGCTTAAAAAGAAAATTGTGTATGTTATTAAGAAGCCTTAGGAAAAAATTCAGAACTTAGCAAAGTGGGTTCCTCATGAACTTTGGTTCGAGTTTGAATATGTGTTTTTTATTTTCTTACTCAGAACAGTGAACTTTGGTTCATGTTTGAACATGTGTTTTTATTTTCTTACTCAGAAAAAAGTCAATTTTAAATAAGACTTCAATGAAAAATAAATTTATGAGAATCCAAATTGAAAATAAATTATTGTGGCCAGTATACCTTACTGTTTAACTCATAGTTGGTGGGGAAAGAAGTGATGTAGATTCATGCCTTTTCCAAGGGCACTTATGTGGAAAGGAATGTAACTGACTTGGTCAGAATCTGAACTTGTCTTTCTAAGTTCAGTTTATGCATCAATAGCTGTCTAGCTACCTGCACATCCAATAGTGGTAGAATGCTAAAAGGAGTCGGTTAGGATATGTATCTAGACACATCAGATGGCAGGAATTTTAAATTTAAATTTATTGAGAACCATACAAATGTTTTGTTTGTTTGTGGAACAGACTCTTACATAAATACTTCCCTAAACACTACAATCTTAACCGTTTCAAGTCTAGGGTCAATTGTTATCTATCCTCATAATCTGCACTTCATCATCATCATCATCCTTCAACCTCCCTATGGTTGGTTGGAACTCCATTGGCAATCTCTTTCTACAATGTTTGATCGTGTATTGCCGTCTCCAGATCCCCAATGTGTACTTACTTCCTCCTCTTACATTCATATCAGACACTTCATTCAGTAAACCTCTCCCTGAGTGGTTCTTGAACCTTGTATTAGTTAAACATTAAAAAAAAATAGGAAGCAGGATGGAGTAATATTACCAGAGAAAATAAAATTGGTCAACCAGATTTGGAGTCCAGTTGAGGTTGTTTATGTTCACTTTGCACAACTTCTTCACCAGCTCAAGTAGTAACAAAAGAACATTGTTACATTCGTAGTCTACTTTGACATGGTTCAGGCAGGGGAAAGATAGGCTTAAGAAGTTTGGGTTTTTTTTTCTTTTCAACAACACTGAGTCATTTTGAATTTTACAGATAAAGAAATCTGTTTAAGTCTCTCCATCTTTAATTTTTCTTCTTTTATTTTTTAAGAATTACAGATTCTGGAATCCGAAGTTTGGGAGAAGGGGTATGTACAGCCAAACTTCGAGAGCTGAATTTGTCAAATTGTATACGACTGGGAGACATGTCTGTTGTTAGCATCTGCAAGAAGTAAGTAAAATATGTACAATAAAGTTATTGTACATTAGTTGCTTTTATTTCCAATTTAAGATTTGTGGATTCAATCTTAGAATTTACTAATGTCTTTTTTGTTCATCTGTTTGTCACCCTATAACTAAAGAAAAAAGTTATGGTCATTAAATTTTCTTTGGCTACTAATGGGACCTTAGAGCATATTTTTGGTATATTAGTTTTGGAAAATCCCAAATCTTTTTAGCAAGGGGTGTAAACAAACAAAAACAAATGCTATGAAAGTATAAGCATACCAGCAATACATTTTTATATAAAGTTACCAATAATACATATTTATAGTAAAATTACCAACAATACATTTTTAAACCAAAATGACCAGCAATACATTTTATAGTACAGGGTGTTCCAAAAAGCATGCAACAATTAGCAGAAAATATACAATTGTGACATTTGCATGACATCATCTTCCATAATTCAACCAATAAAATTTCTTAATAATATATTGTCGCATACAGAAACATGATTCCATTTGGTAAATAAATATAAAATTTACAAGATTATCAATGATAATGTGACTTTTGGAACAGCCTTTAGAATAACCACTAATACATTTTATCTGCAGCTGAAGGCATACAGTTGCTTTCAAAATATTTAGATTTCAGCAATAAATAACCCAAAGAGATTGCTATGCCACTAAACAAAATCAACCAACCAACCAACCATGTGATTTATTAAATTTTTGAAATTTGTAATCTGTAGTTTTTTTTTCATTCTATTGATTAAGCACTGCAGATTACAAATTTCAAAAAACATCTTATTTTGTTTTACATTTGAATAAATCATGTATGAGCAGTATTTGGTTTGGCTTCTGTAGGGAAATCAATTTACAGTGATCAGTTTAAAATTTACATAGCAAATAACTAATAACTTTTCTAAAATTTAATAGAATAACTTTTTTTTTCAAAATTTGTGATCTGGAGTGCTTTATCTAAAGTAATATCTGAAAAAAAAAATTAAAAAATTAATTATTCTTGGTCACAGTGCTTGTTGTACAACTCCACCAAAATGTTTAGTTAACAACTGCTTTTAAAAAGAAGTTGAGTGATGATTGATGTCTCCACCGTATTTTGAAAAACATTTTCTGAACTGTGGATTTATTTTTTGTCTTACTCTGTTGCTTTCATCCAGACTTCAGAACTTAGCCTACCTAAACTTGAGCTTCTGTGAAAACATCAATGAATCTGTATTGGAACTGTTGGGCCAAGCTCCAAGTTTGATCTCTTTGGACATCTCTGGATGTAGCTGTGGTGATCAGGTGGGCTGAACCTTCTTGTAGATATCAATTTGTCTTTGGCGTTCAGATATCTATAACTATGTCTATGATAATTACCTGTTATTAAACAACATTTCCCAGAATACATATGATCAATACCCAATAAAATATCAATACCCTATAAAATGACAAAACCCTATAAAATATCCTATAAACTCTCTCTTTCTCACACACACAATTTCTATTTTGTTGGCACTTCAGGATAGTGTAATGGTTAACTAGCTTGTCTTAGTATATCAATTACAACTGAATAGTGAGTGTGCAAAATATTGTTGCCACTGATTTTAGTCTCACTAGGAACAGCACATGCAACATTATGGCAACAGTCAATGTGATTTCAACTTGCACCTGCTGCAACAAATGTGATCTACAGATCAAATCTGAAGATCCCATTCTCATCTACAAATACTCTATGATATTGGGCTCTGTTCCCTTAAAAATGGAGCAAACTTTATATATGTGTGTGTGAATGAGAGAGAGAGAGCATATATATATATATATATATATATATATATATATATATATATATATATATAAGAGATAGACAGAAACTTCCAGCTTCAACTTTCACTGATGCACTGCTCATCAGGGTAAGACAATGACTAGTGTATTTGTGAAACTTTAGTCAGAAGATAACTTTAGTTTCTCAACATTTTTGTTTTTATCACTGTTGTTTTTAAATATTCCACACTGCAACAACATAAAAGGTAAGAAACTGGACTTAAATTTACTATGGAAGACTCGGAAATCAGTGCACTTCCTATACACTTTTTTCATAAATTAAAGGACAAAACACATTACATAGAAGTTTTTCCATTTTGTTGTTTCATTTACTGGATTGTTCTAGTAAAGAAATTTAGATATCATGTTATCAAAAAAAACTAGACAGCACCAATATCACTTCTAACAACAACACAAAATTCATAATCCTACTCTCTAACATTCTTTCTATAAAACTTACAAATAAATTAATTATCCCTAATACTAAGATCTTTACCACCACTTCCAAGATGAAAAATAAATCCAGCACCAATTCAGATGCTGGTACTTATTATATAAATTACATACAATGTAAAAGCATTTATGTTGAAGAGACATCATGAAATCTAAAAGCCTGTATCTATGAACATAAAAGAGATTTACATTTAGTCAACCATTCAAACTCTCTTGTAATGCACAAGAACAAAATTGGTCATGACTTTGATTCTACAAATGCCACCCTAATTAAAAAAGAACATAATTTTTTATATTGAAAGTACATCAAGGGCCTACTAATAATAAACTAGAATTATTATACACTTATATACATAAAGTGATATTTGTGATTTTTCAGTTAGACTTGGAATCCATTGATTTCTTGAATCTTTAAATGAACATGTAATCTCTCCTTGAATTTAGAACACTGCAAATTATACTAACATTTATTTAACAAGTCGAATGCCCATGAAACATGATTAACCAATGGAAATCAAACAACACAAAAGTAAAAATACCAGAATTTCTTCTTTTTCTCCATATCTCATTCTCTGATGAAGCTTTAATAAAAGTGAAAGATGTTAAATTGATAAATGTTTCCCATTTATTCTTTATTTTATCATATCATGTTATTCAATATGTGTATATATATATATATATATTGTCAACCACAGACAGATTGTTTTGCTGTTTCACAGCTCATCAGTGTGGCTAGACATTTGATTGCCTCAAGCTGGGAGTGAAACCCGACTGATTTGGTACCAGTTGAAGATATTACCTCTAAGCCATTGGAGCGCAGCAGGGATGAAGTTAAATTTAGATGTATTTATTTTTAGACAAACATGCCAGTGACTAGAGAACTCAATTCGTCTTAACAAAGAGTCTTCCATCAGCAGCAGTAATAGTCACTGTTTACAAATTCACTTTTCTTCCCGAAGAGCTAAACCAAAATAAAGAGCATATATATATATATTGTCATCTACAGACAGACTGTTATGCTGTTTTACAGCTCATCTGTGTGGCTAGGCATCTGATTGCCTCAAGCCAGAATCAAAACCCAACCGATTTGTTATCACTCAGAAATTTTACCCCTATGCCATTGGCGCACGGCAAGGATGAAGGTGAATTTAGACATATCTATTTTTAGACATAGAGAACTCATTTTAACGAAGAAGATGTAGTTTTAAGGTATGCTATATTTATGGGTTAAAGTGACATCAGGAATAGAGCATATGTAAATATAAAAGTGGACATTGAAGTCAACACTCAGAATCGACAGTCTGTTTCATGCTAAATGCAATCGTCATGGCCTACTATATGCGTTTAGCATGCAACAGACTGTCACCTTTGGGTGTTGACATCAATGTCTACTTTTATATATATATATATATATATATATATATATATATATATATATATATATATATACTTATTAGTAAGAAACTAGTTCACTTATATAAATCTGTACTCAAATATTTTATGAATGTTTTTTTTTCACATTTAATCCTTAGCAGATATATTGTTGAAAAAGTCGTTTTACAGATGATATCTTCTTTTATGATCTGTAAGTAAACTTTTTTCACCAAAAATAAAGTATTTTTATGATGACATAAATTATTTAAAATAACCCTGGTAAGGACATAGAATTCATGTGTTAGATAAAATTTTGAATTTGTTCAGTTATAATTAGTTTGTATATTATATAAAAATTAAATCATAATAGAATAGAAATTTTTTTCCTTGAGTTTCATTATTAGATTAAATTTTAATATTAAATATGCAATAACCAATCCAGTTATCGGCACAATCTTTGGGTCAATACATACGTCAATCTATGGAAAGGCTCCAATTATTTATAGCTTTTGTATTTTTTTAAATAAATATTTGTTGATGATTTCAGTTACATATATTGCTAATTAATAAATTTGCAGCACTTATATATAACATTTAAAAAAAATTAGGGTCTCTCTGCAATTGGTAATGCTGTTCACCTGAAAGACCTTACAGCTTCTGAGTGCAATGGGGTCACAGATCTTGGACTTCAGAAATTTGCTAAGCAGTGTGAGGGAATTGAGCGAGTGGACCTTTCCCATTGTGTGGTATGTACATATGATAAAATGTTTAAAATTCTGCTTCAGTTAGGATTTTTGTTTGATATGTCACTAGTTTGCATTTCAACAAATCAGCTTTCAAATAAACTAATACCTTGTTTTAACAGATAAAGGTGGGAGGGGGGAACATAGGTTCAATAATGCTGATTGTCTGTAGTTATCAACAATTTTGTGCTACTGTTAAATTCTCCCTTTTCTGTTCTTCTATTCTCTCTCCTGATGACATAGTTATAAAAAATAATGAATATAAAACCACTTAAACATACTGATATATAAAAAAGAGGAAAACCAATGGAGTAATAAACTACACATGTGCTTACACTGATATAAACAAAATGATGGACTTCCAACTTGAAGTCAGCTTGTGAAACGGGGTTTATTTCCAGTGTTGCTACAACTCCATCTGTAGTGCACAGAAGAAAAGGATTTTGTGTGATGTATTTCCTCCCTTAGGGTATCAGACTAAGGTGATGTTTACACTGATAAGACTACACCTGTATCCAAATAAAAGGGGATGCTAAAATCACATTTTTTTTAATCATTTTTGTTATTAAATATCCCACATTGTGTCAACATAATAAAAAAGAAACTAAATGAATTTGGTGAGACTATAACATCAAAATACTTATTTAAAAAAAAAATCTTAATTTAAAATTATATCCCCTCTCCTTCACACATTGTGTAGTCGCATCAATGTAAACATGGCAGCCAATCCCTAAAACAATCTAAAGTCCATTGTTAGCTGGGGCAAAAGATGGCTTGTTAATTTTAATGTCTCCATAACTAAACTGTTCTCCATTTATCATCTAAGAGTCCCTTCTCAGCCTTCCATCAGCATGGCAGATGCTAACCTTTAGGAAAAGTGACTTGTTATGCCTTCTTAACATTCTCAGCTAACATGAAATGGAAAGACTATATTGAATCCATTGCTAGGTTAGCTGCTAAAAAAGTTCACTCTGTTCTGCAAGACAATTTTTCTCTCCAGAATCTATCCAACATATCTATAAGTCTACCATTCATCCATGCTTAGAATATTACTTCCACATATGGTCCAGTACTCCTGCTATTTATCTAGAGCACCTTGATAAAATTCAAAGAAGAATCAGCAATATTATTGGTCCTGATCTGGCAGCTCAGTTTCAGTCACTTTTCCACCACCATCAGGTTGCTTCCCTGTGTCTTTGCTACAAATACTTTCATGGTAATTGTTTGGACGAACACTTTGCTATGGTACCTAGATTTTTTTAATTTAAATGCAATACTAGACTGACATTAAGATCTCATCAATTTACAGCTGAGTTGGCTAGATGTAGCCATAAATTCTATGCTAACAATTTCTTTTCTCACACTTCTTGCTTGTGGAACTCCCTTCCAGCTCCATGCTTTCTACCCAACTTTAATCTTCAAAAATTTAAATGCAATGTCAATCGCTATCCACTGTCTTCCTGATTACTCTTTTTGTTCTCAGTCATTAGTAATGTTTCTGTTTCTAATTCTTTCACACCTAGTAACTCCTTGTGTCTTAGTGGCTTTACTGCCTTGCTTGGGGTGAAACCAACTAAAAAAAAGTACTTTAGTCTGATGAAGTCCTAAAGGACAAAACGTACCCAACAAAACCTTTATCCACTTTGACATAGATATTCCTAAGATTCAAGTATAAACCAGACCAATGTTTATTTTTTGATTCAAATATAAACTGAACCAATGTTTACCTTTTGACTCCATTATAAACTGGACAAATATTTACCTTTTGAATTGAGTATAATAATAATTTTCAAAATGTATCCATTTATTTATGTTATACTTAAGTTTTATACCAATGAGAAATTATTTAACAATCAATATATTAATCATTATAATTCTGCATTATTCATTAGTATTACTTCCTCTAATCTTGCCGGAGTGTACAATGGCTAAAACATTGTAAATATGACTTTAAAATTGAGGACAACAGTCAAAACAATATAAATAGCATAAGTAGTTACAACACCTTATCTCAGAAATATAGACAGATAGACATTATACAATGAAAATATCAGATCAAAATTTATGTTAAAAAATGCGTGTTAGGCTATGAACTTATTGATGCACCTTCATAATTCTCACATCTCAAGTGATTAATCAGAAGCCTTAATGGTTCTTAGTTTTATAGACTAACCATTAAATTACTATTATTTTGTTTCAAATGTAAGTGAAATTGAAGATCTATTTAAGATTTCTTCTTTTCCAGCAAATTACAGATGCAGCCATAAAGAATCTGGCTTTCTGTTGCCGTTTGCTTAGCTGTATCAAGTTGTCTGGCTGTAAACATGTAAGTTGTCCTTTAAAATATTTATTCACTGGCAACCATAAATACCTGGGCAGTCCTAATTCACTTTGCATCATGCCTGGAAAATAAGATTGAAATATCAAAAAACTTGTTGAAGAAAATTAAATACACATGCATATATGCAGACATATAAAAATAAATGGCTACTAGGGTGGCTAGCCAATCCCTGTTGCAGATGCCTGTTCAGGCATATTTGTGTTTGTTCAATTCCCACAGAGCCCACCTGTGGTTTATAGTGTAACTATGCTGAGCAGACCTTAGTTACAGAGAGAGTGTTTGTTATCTAGCATGATCAACAGTCTGAACAAGGCCAGCACACTCAAACTCTCAGTCACAATGACCTGTAATTTCATGCTAGCACAACCTTAGATGGTTGCCAATGAGTTTCTTCTACCCAATTTCACTACTTTGAAACAGATGCATCTGTTTAAGAATCGTGACAAAGAGGCTGAGAAGTTTCAAAAGAAACAAATTCGATATTTCAAATGAAATGAATGTCAACACATAGTGGAATTTTACATATATTCTTATATTAAAAAAAATATGGCTCACAAAACGAACCTGACATGAATTGGAACTTGGCTCTGCAATTAACAATTCCAAGCCATTATCCATTACACCACACACATATCGAAGCTTGCAGCACCAGATACTCCCAAGCAGTTACCCATTTAGGTACTGAACAAGTTCGATTTTGCTTAACTTTGGTGATCACATGTGAACCAGTGTTCCAATGCTATGTAAGCCAATTATACTTTTAAGCACCTATTACATAATACTTGCTTAATGAGTATTTGCACATATGTGAATATAACAAACTCAACTGAAATTGGAACTCAGTTCTCTGATTAACAATTTCAAGCCATTATCTGTTACACCACCTGCTCATCCAAGGTTACACCACCTGCTATTCGTAAGTGGTCACCCATGTAGGTACTGACCAGGCTCAATGTTGCTTAACTTTGGTGATTTTACAGAAATCAGTATTTCAATGTAATGTAGCTATAAGCCATGGTGGGAGAAAAAAAATTCCCCCAAGACCTAATGTTGTTGCAACAAACAAACAAACAAAAAAAAAAAAAAAAAAAAAGAGGAAGATTGTTCATGCCCATTCATTTTATAGACCCAAATAAAAATGATACCTGGCAGGTGACCTAGCAGGTGACCTGGCAGGTGACCTGGCAGACAAGAGAAAGACTGATCACTTATGCTTCTTACAGAATGTAGGTATAGTAGACTGATGAAAAAAAAAATGAACAAAAAAATTCAAAAGACAGAATAATAATATTTATTGCATATTATTAAGCCAATAGAATGAAAAAGAAGCATGTATTAATTTATATGGCTCTAAGCGAGTGCAGCCTTTTGGTTTTGGTGAAGGCCACACTTCTTTGAACCTTGTAGACTGGTGCTAGTGAATCACAAACAAAGAACTGTACCAAATTGCAGAAGCTATATCACTTGAGGACCTTCAACATCAGAAACAACTAAAATGGATATCCCATGTAACTCAAAAAGAAAATAATGACAATCAAGATATTGAAATTCCACACAACTTCAAATAAAAGGTTAGGATGGAAGCTCCTGTCAATACTGGAAAGAGTAATAACAGCTACTGGACTTGGGAAGCTGATTTTCTTGAAAAATTGTTTTAAAATTTTTAAGAAAGATTTTAAAAGATTTCAAGTTTTTAAGAATGATTTAAAAATTTCAACTGTCAACTGTATTGGGTGCTTTGGTCAATGAATGCTGAACATTTCCTTATACAGAAATGGCTAATATTACCATTACTATTATCATTAGCTTTCCCACCAGAAAATGACAGCAATATTTAAGCAAATAAAAGATTTTTCCTGTGGCGCAATATTTTATTATGGTCATTAAAATTGGCATAGTTCATGTCAGTGAGAGGAAAATGAAAGAAAGAAAAGTATATTACAGTTATCCTATTGTCTTTTACATTTATAAATATATATATATATATATATATTTGTGTATTTGGGCAGTAATTCCTCTTTTATACAAGTTTCATTAATAATGACTGACATGGTACTGCGGTTAAGTTTTTTCCTTAATTTTTCTTGTGTTTTTATAATTTTCTTCTTTTCTGACATAAATTATGTCGAAAATGTCCAAATATTCTACATGTACAAGTCCTCTTGGCTATACTTTTAACCATTATCAAGGATGATTTTATTCTTAACTAAATGTATAGATTGTTTTAAATACATATCTAGAGTTATAGGAATATTTTATTTTTCAAACATGGTCAGCATATTGTGGCCATGTTCATAGTTAATGTTATTGACTGTTGACTTTTTCTTTTTTATTAATAATGTTTCCATTATTTTTAGCCTTTTTTACAGTGAATGAAGTTATTATATTTGTATTATCAACAAGTATCTTGTGGATGGAGGTTGGTAGGTCTCCATGTGTATTTAAATGAGGCTTAATTGAGCTATGGTCAGAGAGATGTAATGTGAGTTTTCTTGTTAGCCATGTTGTAGTATATCCAATATAATTATTTATGAACTTAGATTGATCAGGAACACAGTTCCTTAATGGACATGGGAATTCATAAATATATAACATGTTGTATTTTATATATGTGGGTGAGTAAGTATTAAACCTACCTTTTTAAAATGTTCTTTACTATAGTTTTTAACTTGTATTATTGTTTTTTTGTTTTTTTTTTACTGCAGTTAACTGACCTGAGTCTTCAGTATCTGTCTGGTGTGTGCCATTATATCATATCTTTGGATATCAGTGGATGTACTTTGATCACGTAAGTATTATAATCAGAAGTTCAAAGTTTTGTACCTTGTGCTGTTTGTTAAAGAAAAACTTTAAAAAACCTGTATAAATTAAGATTTGATAAAATTAAATTAAATAGATTCAAATTATAGTGGACACATTATTAGAACATATTCTATTAATTAATCAGTTTATGATAAAATAAAAACCTCTTTTTATTGAAAATTATTAATAAGACATTATATCCTTACTGAGTGGATACAAATTTAATTATAATTTGTGGAGAAATGTACAAATTGCACAGCATTTAAAACATATATAAAATTATTAATCTGCCAATTTTCAAACATTAAGAATGTATAATCGTTAAGCTATTAAAAATTTTGTACTCTTCAAGTAACACACTTTAAAAGAGAGTCAATTGTTTGTTAAATACTTGTGCACATTTTGTGTTTATTACTATATCTAGATGCCAGGTGTAAATAAAGGACAATATATCAAGTAGTGAGTCTGCGTGATAGTACAAATAGCCAGCTGGAGCAATAGTCCTAGCTAAAGTAGAAAGAGGAATCAAGTTTATTTGCTGTTTGTTTATCAAGTTTATTTGCTGTTGGATGAAAACTGTCTTTATAAGAAGAAACTGGATTAAAAAAAAGAAAAAGAGAAACAATTTTTGTAAAACATCATTCAAATATAAAATTTTGGATTTACACATCTGCTTCCTCCCTTTCCTTTCTATTTTCTTTGTTGAATATTTTTACAAAGTCAAATTTTCACTTCTCTCAACCTTTCATGATTTTTCAAATAATGCAAGGTATGAGATATTAAATTTACATTGTATCTATATCTATTATTGAACATATGTAATATCCATTTATAACTTGTGTCTATTATATTATTTCTAAAATAATATTTATGTCAAAGATTAAAACAATTTTTTTTTATTTTTACTTAATAAAATGAATAAACTTTTTTGTTTCATCACACAAGACTTTACTGTTAATACTTTTTTAAAAACTTCTGTTAAACTTGATATCAATACACTTTCTATTTATAGAATTTAAATTATAAGTATTTGCAAATAAATAAATAAGGGGAGACTATTCTATAATTAGCAAAACTCCAACTACATGTAAAATTTAAAATTAACTTATACCAATCTCTAATCAACAGGAGTCTTGTGTTAAATGGTTTTTAACATACATGCTAACAGTTTAGAAAAAATGTTTCATGCAATAATAAAGTGTGGAAATATTCATGATGGAAGAAGAAAGGAAAAAAGAAATGAAAAGACATATTGTTTGCATAAATTAATGATACCCATAAAAATAAGATTTATTTTAATATAAAAATATACTCTTTTAAAAAACAAATCTATCTTTATTTCATGGACATCATTATTCCATGCAACACATTTTATTTCTTTTTCTCTGATATGGTTTTCTTTTCAGCTTTTGTAATATTCACACAACTATGCATACAAAAATTGGATCATTATTATTATCAGGGTGAGCATGAATTCAAACTCCACTCTGTTATTATCATTAAGTTGCAAATTGGACTAGAACTTGCTTTGTTTTTCAAGTTAGAGCATTTTAACAGCATTGCCTTAACAAAAATTTTGCTATAATGTACTGTTTTTACTATATTATAATACCATACAAACAAAGACAAACTTCATCATTATAATACTGTTTTACTATTTTTATTTCATTTTACATTTCATTAATGACTCCATGCAAGTTGCCTCTGCATCATTCTCAATATGCACTGATTTTATCATTGATCCTCATTTCAGTCCTAGTTAAAAACATTGAAGCTATATTGCAAAGGATTCATCTGCAGTGAGCAAGCTTCATGGCAAAGGTAGCAAACTGTCACATTCCAAAGATTCACCTATTTGTCAAACTCATCTCTGACTAGCAGAGTAGGCAGGTGCCTCAGAAAAGATACAAGGATTCCCTTAAAAAAGACAATTGTCTCCTATGGAATTAAATACCACTAGTGGACAACTGTTGTGTCTATGTGTAGTGTTTATAAGAGAATGGATGTACATAACCTCTCAGAACAAGATTTGATGACATTCCAGAACACAGTAGACATCCAAGGAAGACTGGAAGATACATGGTCAGAAGGTAGGGTAGGGGGAAAAAATTAAGCAAAAGAGACAAGCAAATTAAACTGAAGCAAACACATAGCATGACCTTTTTGCTTGTATTTTTATCTGTTTTTGTATCATTATCTTGTATCTTTGTATCATCATTTGCTTTTCTCTATCATTTGTTTGTGCTTCTACTTCTGTTTTATTTTGCTTCAAGGGTTTATTTGCTTTTACTCTGTCTTTGTAGGGACAAAGGAATCAGATTTTTACGGAAAGGATGCCATTGGCTGCGGATTCTGAACATTCTTTACTGCAAAGGAATTTCAAAGTCAGTGAAATTTCTTTTGATTTTGATAAGCTTTGGGGATCAAATGGACATGTCTACTAATTCATCTAATATTTTTATATCTATTAATCACAGTTGCGTGTATATTTATATATATATATATATATATATATATATATATATATATATATCTTGTTACTCATTTTTCAAATATACTCATCTGCTAGAGTGACTATGATTTTGCAGACATCTTCTCAGGCATATTTATGTTTCTTCAGCATCCACAGAGTTAGCCTGTGGCTTATACAGCAACTATACTGAGCAAACATTAGTTACAGTTTGGGGGAGAGAGAGAGTGCATAGTCTAGCATGATCAGCAGTTTGCACAAGCCAGTATGCTCAAACCCTGTCATAATGACTTGTGACTTTGTGCTAGTGCAGCTGTCAATGGCTTTTCTTTACCCAATTTCACTCACAAATCTTGAGTCAAGTTCATGCTTAAACTTATTTTATTTTAAATTTACTTGTTATATTTGGACATAAGGATATCAAGTACTTAAAATCCCAGTTATAACACTCAGGGAAAACTCCACATAGTATGCTGTTAGATCAAAAGCTTAATTTTGATAGTCTCCAAAGTGATGAAACTTAACTTAAAAATGTCTATTCTTTTCTAAATAAACACTGATATTCAATCAGTTTTTGAGTAAAAGTAAAAACAGAAATAATTGATTTTTTATTAGATAATATTACAATACATTGCTTTTATTGTTGAATTTTGTAAGTGAGTAATTTTTTGATAACTTTATGTCTTAGGAGATATTTATTTTTCAATTTTACAGGTCAGCAGCCCAGAAGATGATGAAAAGCATTGAAATTGTTCACTACAGCACAGAGGATACACCTGCTTCCTTTAAGTATTGAACCTGCTAAAGTCTTCAAGTGTCCTCATACAAGTGAAACACCTGAAAATAGAACCTGATATATATTTTATTTATTTATCATTTTCATCTCAGATATTAATATTTTGATTTTCAAGCCTCACAGTCACTTGACAATAAAAATGGAGGCTATAAGGCTTGCACAGGCACAAATCAAAATCGAGGGTAAGCTCCAGATGAAAAACATTATAGACAGTGCAATTAGTGATCAGTGTGTTGATGGAGAGTTTGGGACCTTTCTCTAAGCTCAGATATAGATGTCTGCTCCAGAAAGATAATGTATGCGCATATTCAGTGAAATAAATACAAAAGGTCAAATTGTGAGGTTAAGATATTTTCCAACATCCTTCAAGCTCAGGTTAGCCTCTTAAGATATTGAGTTAATCATGTCACCAGAACTCAGTTAACTTGGCCTTTTGAGATCTTGAGTTAATCATGTCACCAGAACTCAGCCAACTTGACCTCTTAAGATCTTGAGTTAATAATAGTCTGTTTCAAACTAATGCCCTTAGAAAATCAATCTTCCTCCAGTTACGCATTAGATAGCAGGGCAGCTTCATGTCTTCTTGCTTGGGGTAACAGCCAGTCTAAGAGAAGGAAAACACTGAATTTAAAGTGAAGACTGGGTTCTTTTGCCTCGTTAGCTGGGTTCAACAAAAAATAAATAAGAAAAATGAATATATAATTATGGATTATCACACATATTGTGCTCTGATGCCGACATGATTTAAACATGTAACTTTCTGATCCAACCATTGTGTTAGATTTGGGATGGTCATTAGAAATTGAGAATGTGCCATGCATTGACGAACAAAAAAAAAAAAAAACTACAAGTGTTGAATAAAATGAGATGGAAATTTTTATTCCACCGGGAACATTTTTTGCATAGACAAAGTTCAAGGATAGTTCCTGAAAGAAAGTTCAAGGATAGTTCCTGAAAGAAAGTTCAAGGATAGTTCCTGAAAGGAAGTGCATATTCAAGAAATCATAACAATGTCTCTGCAAACAAGATAAAAGAAATAATTGAACTTACTCACTTTTTAACTCACCAACATGACGAGGTATTATACCTATACCATGTTTGTTTGTTACAGGAAACACCAGTTTTAGTTTCCTACTTCAATTTGGCACAATGGGAAAGTGGACTAACCTCTTGGGATATGCATCATGTATATTTCCCTTTTCTTTTTTTTTCTTTTTTTATACATGTCCAAAACCTGAAAAGAGGTCACTGCTGCTTACAGGGTTATAAATGCCTGTGTGTCTGGTAAAAAGCTGTAATGTCTGCTACAAACTTTTTTTTATTCTTGTAAGAATAAAAATGTGAATATGATGAGAAATATTGTAACTTGTTTTTATTGTCTGTGTTAACCAGGAACTTATTATTTCTAAACAGAAATAGTTTCTGAGACAGGAAAGTGTAGTTGTATGGAGAGAATGGCTAGCCATTCATATTATGTGTATATGCATGTGTAAGAGAAAGACAAAGTCACTTTCCTGTATAGACAAAGCTCACTCTAGATAAGTCTCTTGGTCTCTTGTGAGGAAAAGGATCAGGTATAGCTTGTTGGAAACCTGATAAATGATATAAAAAAATCCTAACAGAAGTTTTCATTTTAACAGCTTGTAACATGGTGGGGAAAAAAACAAAAGCCTTTCTACACTTGATATTCAAAATTGGCTTGACAATGAAACAAAAAATTCATCTTTAAAAAGAAATACATCTATCTGAGCCTCTTTTGTGGCAGTTGACCTTATAAAAGGACACTTAATAATATAGCTACACAGTGACTCAGAGTTATAGAAATTCTTTCTTTGCCACAATTGTATCATTCCTCTATTTATTACTTTCAAACAACTACTTTGAAATGTATCTGATTTCAGAGACTTTAAGCTTACAAAAATGTATTTTCTTCTTTACACACAAAAGAAAGGAACATTGACAAATATTTAATATCTTTTTCTATATTTTAACTTTTTAAAAATCGAAATAGCATAGTGCATATAGTTAAATAAATTTGCTATTAAATGCCAATAAAACATATTTTTGTCATCTAACAATAAATATAAAAATTTAACTCAATAAGGTCTAATTATCAAACTTAGTGGATATCACCAAGCATTCAAAAGCTAGTATCCTTTTCCACTTAAAACTTGCAGTTCAATAAAAACTTGTTAACTGTCCTTTTTACATTCTTTAAGTATTCAGAACAAATAAATCAGACTTACATCACAACAGTAACAAAATTTGTTTTTAATGATATTATACTACTTTTAACAAGATCTCTTTTGAATTCATGAATACAATTCACTAGATATGCCAGCTGGATGTGTGCACTAAGAAAGCAAAACCCAAAATGAAAAAGATATCTTCTGCACAGGGGATCCAAGCATCACATCCAGTCCACTAAAATATCTCCCACAAAATCTAAAATGAACATTGCTGCCAATAAAAAAAAAATCATCAACATTGTAGCCAATAAAAAAAAGTGACAAGCCTGGAAGCCAGCACCTGTTAAACCAGAGATATGAAAACAGCACATCTCATTGAGAACAGGCAGTTTAGCTTAACACCTCAACCACATCACTTGGCCACTGGCCCATCCACACTCCTCACCAGTGTTGACTTTAACCCAGAAGTTCAAATCAGCCCAGCCAACAACACCCTAACAACATGCTACCACATTGCTTCACTAATCCATTCCAGGCCTCTCTTGTCATCAACACTGTCACCTTTGGTCAATTGACCCAACAAGACCATCAACTCCTGGGTTTACTAACAACACTCTTACACCTAATCACTTCCCTTACTAGTGGTAACTAAAGAACCACATATCAACAATTTTACTGCCTTTTCACAAAATTATTTATGTATTCTGAAAATTGATTAATACATACTGTTAAAACTTTAATCCTTGTTTGTTCTTTTCTTTGCATACTATAACCAGGTCAAAATCAGCATAGTCTTTTGGAGTATTGCAATTTTATTTCCATCAGTGCATATGCATTAGTTTGGAGATAACCCCAAAGAACTTTGAGATGATGTTCATTGATTGGTTACATATCTCTTTTGATTGATTAAAAATAGGTGGATGTTGATTATTTAAATTATTTACATTTAAACTAATCTTTTCACTTTTGTTATCACAACATTTCAGCTGTTGTGCACTCTGGCCTTCTTCCAGTGTCAATCTGAGTAACCCTCAGGGAATTTTGAACTGAACCCTTTATTTAAACTACAGGGGTTAATCCTATTCCATATTTAGGGATATATTGTCTTGTTCTTTCTTTAATTGGTCAGTTACTGCTAGTCCTAGCAATAGCCTAGAGCAACGTTTCCCAAAGTGGGCAATAGTGCCCCCTTGTGGGCTCTGTTATGCTGAAAAGGGGCACTGGGAGTTTTTTTTTATTTCATTTGAGGAGCAGTGAACATACTCAGGTGGCGGTGGGCATGTATTCATTTTTTTCAGGTTTTCAAAAATTATTCAATATTGACTACAAAAGGAAATTTCTGAAAGTGCTGTGGAAAGCTATCAAATTTTTCTTCATTGCTTTTTCAACTTCCTATATGGTTGAATGTGGTTTCAACACAGTTACAGAGCTTCTTACTAGACAAAGAAACTGCCTGCAAATTACAAAACAAGGCGATTTATGATTACTTCCAAGAAGCATGGAACCTAGAGTAAGAGCCTTAGCCATTAAGCACCAAAGTCAGCCATCGCATTGAAAACATTGAGATAAGCTATCAAGTTTACTTAGTATTTTTAGGATATTAATCATTGGTATTTCTAATAGAAATGAAAACAATATTAGCATTATTTTTGCACTAATACCTAAGTGTTATCTTGCTATGAAAATGAATTCAGTATAATATTCGAAATTTAATTTGACGAGTTGGGGGTGTTGGCAAAAATTTTGTTCCCAAAGTGGGTGCTGGTTGAGAAAAGGTTGGGAAATGCTGGCCTAGAGGATTAAATTAATGGTTCATGAATTTGGTGGCGCAATAATCATTAGTTCAATCCCTGGTTTAGGTAGTATGGATATACTCAAACTTAGTAGAAACAAGACTAGCAATAACTGAACAATTAACCTAGATGATATATTACTAAATATAGCGAAACTAGAACAATATATCCTTGCAGATGAAATAAAGGGTTTAGTTCAACTGGCTTATAACATTTAAAATCAAACTAACAATGTTTCATCATCACAAAGACCTTGAGTTTTTTCCAATCATGATGGACAGCTCTACTCTCGATGAGGCTCCTTGCCTGAAACATCTATTGGGACTCAGACTCACTTCAGATCTTAAGTAGAACTCAATCATCACTAAAGAAAAAAATGGTCAGTTCCTTGTATCGCTCAATAAAGTATCTGAAACCTTCTGTGATGCTCTATCTTTACAAGAGTCAGATCAAACCAAAAATGGATTATTGCTTCCAGATCTGGGTGAGCCTTGATAGTGTTCAAAATCATTTGTGTAGCATTGTCATGATAATGCTAATATTAACTGTTTCCTTATAAGGAAACCTTCATTTTTCATTGACTGATCAGTTTGTACTACTGTCTGTCTAAATTTATAAGATCTTTGTCTTAAAACAATTTTTTATGTGGGTGATAAATTGTTTTTTTACTCTATGACTCATGAAACTTCATGAGACTCTCGTTGCTTTATTTCAGTGGTTCCCAACCACTGCCATGGCACATTAGTGTGCCGTGGAATAATTACTGGTGTACCGCGAAGAGATAATACCTAGAAGCCATTTAATTTCATTTTGTTTAATAAAGACATTCAATTTCTTAATCATGATGACACCGCTCAATTAGATTTAAGTAATATTGGTTAGAAATCGGAATCGTTAAAAACTTAGGTATTGTTTTATCACCAGTTTATATCATCTATATATCTCATTCACAATATTTACAGATTCTTTGTAGATATTTTTATTAAATATTTAGGCGTTGTAAATTAAAGTTTTAGTA